GTGCACACAGTGAAAAAAATGCGCTTGAAGCATAAATGCAATTTGTTATATGTCAAAATTGTCTATGGCTCTCAAGTTATGCTTGTATGTTTTCAGTGCTTTTTTTTTTTTTTTTTCTTTATTTTTGGTATGCTTGGTTATATGTATTTGTATTGTATGTTATTTGTCGTTTTTTAACAATTTCTACCTGCAATTTTTCTTTGTTGACAGCTTTTGGGCACCCCTACTTTTTGTGTTTTTTAGTTCAAAATTTCCTGGATAGAACTTTTTAAACCAAATTTAATATGTTGGAAGTTTAAGAGTACCTTTCCCATACACATTACAATTTCTTTTTTTTACTGTTTGTACAGCATTATATCCTTTTCGAAACTCATAAAGTATATGCCCAATATGCTTTTTATCTAAAGACGTTACAACTTTGTTTTATTCAAAAAAAATGTGAAGTAAAGAGTTTAAAGTAAGCTTCTAAACAAAGAATAAAATCTCACACTATCTATATTTTAAATGTCACAACTTTTGTAATTAAATCATACAGCTACATTAAGATGTAGAAGTCCACAGTCACTAATAAATGTAATTTGCAGGTAAAATTGTTTCATTTTATTATATAATATTTGTATTTTATTTATGGTTTTCATGTTTTCATTTATAATTAAGGCATTTAAATGTGTTATTTTTACTCTTAAATTATGTGTATTTGCTGTTTTAAGTTTATTGAAATATGTATTGTTCAGGGTCTGAAATGGATTAATTCACTTTCCATTATTTCTAATGGGAAAAACTGATTTGGACTTTGAATGATCTTCTAGAAATGAATTAAATTAAAAGTAGGAGGCACCAATGTAATTGATTCTCAAATTTGTGTCATTAAGTAACATTAACAAGACTATGTCTTGTTTATAAAATCATACTGCCGTTTTATGTTACCAGATATATGAAGGAGTACATGTCAAGATTTGATTTTTCGCACAGAGTATCAGGTGCTCAAATCATCTGCACATAAAAAATCCAGACTGGTAGGTAGTCAGGGGACCGAGAACTGAGTCAAAATAAAATACAAAATGGTGACCCTCTTCTACAAGTAGGCAAAACAGGCACCTCACCCCACTGAAGTCAGGTGAGGGAGAGTACCACCCACAGTCATTCTAAGAAGTAAAGTCTGACGTTAGGACTGAACACATAGATTCTTCTATGTTAAATAAAATTTATAATCTAGTTTTGTAAATTTGGGAGTGCTTCAAATATGACAGGGTGTTGTTACAAGTGGTTTTTTTAACATTATCTAGTATAGTAAAATTGTGGGACTGATAAAAATTTGATGTTATATTAGGGTTGTAGTTACATTCGATGATGTTATAATCAGGTTAAACTGTATATTGTTTGTGCAAAATAAAAAAATAATTTTGGACGATACAATATCCACGATTATTTTTTTTCATAAACAGGAAATTTTCGTTGCACATCAATAAAAATTCAACCCGGGCCAACACGCAGTGGAGAGAAATTTTGAAATTGGATAGGTTAATTTCATCAAAAATGCATCATGGACAACTTCGTGGTCATGGCCAGCGAAGTTTGAACGAATGTGCCCAAAAGCAATGATACGAAAGAAGATTGGAGAAAGAGAACGAGACCCGCCATGAGCATCACAGTGATTCTGCTTAGTAGTGAGTCTACGAGACATAGTCTTATTCCAAATACGGTTTTGCTGTTTTACTTGTTTATTCTTAAAATACAACATTTTAACAAGAAATTAGAAATAAATCAGCATAGGATAATTATGATAAACACAATATGCTATGGATTTTGTTACTTTTCTAGTGATTCACTTTATATTATAATATCAATGAAAGGCTTATACCATGGATGAATAAAATTATAATTATATTTATAATTTTTATGCCATTTATATAAAATTACTTGGTCATGAGTAATTTTTATTGAACTTATTTTGGAGTATTTCATATTGAATACTTTAATAATAATAGAAAATTAAATAAAGTGACAATGCTAACCAAATTCTTCTGAGAGGCCACTAGCATGAATCATAGGTTTGTCATCCATGATATATATATATATATTTATATATATCAATTTCTGATTCATAAATTTATATAATAATTTATATTTTAACCCG